TTCTATCTCTCTCGCACTTAATCGCTTGCTACCTGGGCGATTTTCTGTCTCTCTCGCACTTGATGCCCTTGAACGGGGCAACCGAGGTTGCGACCACTCTCGGAGGGTCGCGGGGGAACGCGATGCTGCTTTGCCGGAAAAACCACCCAAGTCCCGCCTGGCTATTTGCTGTCTCTCTTGCACTTATACGCTTCCTACCCGGGCGATTTTCTGTCTCTCTCGCACACTTTAGCGAGCCGCCTGGCTATTTTCGGTCTTACTCGCACACAATTGCGTCGGGGGCAACCGAGGTTGCAACCACTCTCGGAGGGTCGCGGGGGAACGCGATGCTGCTTTGCCGGAAAAACCACCCAAGTCCCGGCTGGCTATTTGCTGTCTCTGTCGCACTTATAGGCTCCCTACCCGGGCGATTTTCTGTCTCTCTCGCACACTTTGGCGAGCCGCCTGCCTATTTTCTGTCTCTCTCGCACGCAACCGCGTCGTGCAAGGCGATTTTCTATCTCTCTCGCACTTAATCGCTTGCTACCTGGGCGATTTTCTGTCTCTCTCGCAGTTGGTGCCCTTGCACGGAGCAACCGATGGTGCAACCACTCTTGGAGGGTCGCGGGGGAACGCGATGCTGCTTTGACGGAAAGACCACCCAAGTCCCTCCTGGCTATTTGCTGTCTCTCTCGCACGTATACGCTTCCAACCTGGGCGATTTTCTGTCTCGCTCGCACGCAATCGGTCCTCGTTACTGTGTGCGAGAGAGACAGAAAACATCCAGGGAGCCCGCTAATGTGTGCGAGAGAGACAGAAATCAGCCATGGAGCCCGCTTATGTGTGCGAGAGAGACAGAAAACAGCCAGGGAGCTTGCAAATTAGTGCGAGAGAGACAGAAAACATCCAGGGAGCCCGCTAATGTGTGCGAGAGAGAAAGAAAATCGCTTGGCGGGACGCCGGGGTGTGCGAAAGAGAGAAACCAGCCAGGGAGCCCGCTAATGTGTGTGAGAGAGACAGATAACAACCTGGAAGCCCACTAATGTGTGCGAGAGAGACAGAAAACAGCCAGGGAGCCCGCTAATGTGTGCGAGAGAGATAGAAAACAGGCAGGTAGCCTGCAAAAGTGTGCGAGAGTGATAGAAAATCGCAAGGCGGGACGCCGTGGTGTGCGAGAGAGACAGAAAACAGCCAGGGATCCCGCTAAATTTTGCGAGAGAGACAGAAAACAGTCAGGCAGACTGGTTAAGTGTGCGAGAGAGATAGAAAATCGCATGACGGGACGCCGCTTGCCGGAGTGTGCGAGAGAGACGGAAAATTGCCAGGCTGGACTTACGTTGTTCTTCCGGATTTTGGTAATTTGATCTTACCGTGACGTCTGGCGAACATAAGTGGTAGTATCTCTCGAGTTTGTTTGTCGCTGGTTGGACGTTCGAGTGTACATCCGATCCTAATTCCCAGAGACAAAATTCCTAACATGTTCCTAACCTAGCTAGATTTCAAAGTAAATAAAACAAGAAGAGAAACCCGCTCATCACCACATATTGCTACTGTCATGTTAAAACATTTTCAGTGCAATCTTATATTTTTCCATTTCTAAATGTTCATGTATTCGAAAAGTTTAAGAAAATATTTAAGTTTTCGTTGCTTAGTTTGATTTGATTGTTTTGTACCTTTGAAGCCTTCAGGATGAATTTTTTTCCATCAGTTCTTCGCCATAGCGTGAGTTTCACTATTGCCATAATCATAACTATTCTCTCATTATATTCCCTGAGAAGTTTATCGACACACACAGTGCACGCACTGAGCGGTGCGATTTGAGAGAAAACTTGTTGTATAATAGACTTGAGGAAAGAGAAGGAGAGACAAATGTCACATTAACCCAAATGCGATATTTAGATAGCCCATTAATCTCCACATGAATTTTGGTTGAAGGGTGCCATCCCACTGTGTGATTTTTGTCTCTTCTTTTTTTTCCCAGTTTTATCTGTTTGTAGGAGCGTTTCAATGTGGGTTGAATGCGCATTTTGCAATCAGATTGAAAGAAGCGCATTGTATGCCTTCACATTAGCGCCATTACAACATGCAAGTCCAATTGGAAATGGGTTTGATGTGATTTCGAACAAGAAGCATACTGTATCTGATGATTTGCGTGTAAAATAATTTATAAGTGCTAAAACTTTATCTCAATGCAAATGGAAGTGAATCTGCCTCCTCCAAACAGCACTGTTCCGTAGCCTTAACTGCAGCCGGATTGTTGAACCTTTAACTGGCTATGTCGGCACGATAAGACAAGACATAGCCCTATCTGCGCCGTGTAATATATCGATTTTCGATTCTTGTCGTGCCGACTTAAATTTCAACAATCAGGCTGCTGTAAGATTTCCTTCCTACCAGGGTTTGTATTATTGGCACTTCTTTGATCTGAATCCAACCAGAATTGATGAGGTATTGATATGAATCAAGAGTTTGCATGAACTGTCTATTTTCTATGCTTGTTGAATTTGTACTGTATGATTTACATCAATAGTCGCACATTGTAATGCTCGTATATTTGTAGGTATTGTTATTCATGGTATGTTATCAGATTCTCATTTCATGGAAGATTTTTAAAAGAACATTTTTTAAAACTGCCACCAGATCTTTCAAATGACTTAATTATAGAACTGTGCCATTTTGACCTGTTTACCTATGGGAAAATACAGGTTTGTAGGATACTTTTGATGTGGGTCGGTAGCCGAAATAAATGAGACGCTGATGATCACTCAAAGATGTTTATTATAACGATTATAACGAAATCACGACTTGAACAGGAAGGGGCTGGCTCTGGCTAGTGGCCAGTCTGTCTGTGGGTGCCCCGTTGCCAGGTCGGGCACACACCCTATTGAGTAAGGCTATGATGTCACATAGCCTTACTGCAACTTTCATCTTGAGTATGTGGTTATCTCATCCTTTATATTTTATTTTTCCTATTTTAAACCAATTCCAAAATTCCAATCATCAATTCATATCTTGCAACCTTTCCTAATAAATTTCACTCTTATCATTTTCATTATATGTATTAATTATATTCCTTCTGAATGTTGCATCCAAAAGAGTTCTAAACTATTTTGTGGTGAATTTATGTATTTTTATAATGCATACCAAGTATACTTGTCATCAGGTTATTAAAAAAGCAGCTTTAGTGTAAATTTCAATATGATGCTAATACCTAAGTCATAATTGTCATGATTTACAGTTGCTATGGTACAGAGTAGTCACGTATTGTAGTCCTTCGTTTTTCACCGTAGCATTATTTATTCAATTTGCCTTTATTTCTTCACAGGTTCATTCCAGACCTCTTGAAAAACTCATCACCCCTATCGTGGGAGCACAAAAAGTTCTTCACATTTTTGCAGCATCTGTCAAAACTCCTCCAACCTACAGCGAGGAGGAAGTCCCAAAATTTATTTCTCCCATCTTCACGAACAGAAATCCGAGGAATTTAGAAAGGCTGACAATCGGCGATAAACCAGAAGGTTGGAACTTTGAAAAACCAGGAAGAAGATGTTGGAACAGGTAGGTTTTCTCATATGGACACAAATAAACCAAAAATACAACCACATGGTAAAATTTTTTAGTGTCTGGTGTTATCCTCTATTGGTGGTGTGAAGTTAGCCAATTTTTGTTTTGATTGAAACGTTTGTTTTGGGTCATCTATCCATTATTATAAGTCAGTGCAGTGGCGTGGCATGCTTTGCAATATATCAATTGATCTGTTATTTAAATCTATGGAAAAGGATTGATGAACAGGGTGTTTGCAATGAACACCTATATAACCGATTCTTACTTCAGCTTCAAATGGGAAATATCAATATTCGATCATTCAAGCGAGGCCACTGAATCAGTGGTTTTAGATACTTGGAAAATATCACATCCATCAGGCACTTTTAAAGTGCTGGGAAATTGAGATATCATATGCATCATCAGTTTTCAGCTTAAAGCACCTATTCTCTCTGATTGTCTACTTGCCTGCCTCTGCTTGTCTACTACCTGTTTTACTGATGATGAATGAATATGTTCCAGTCATTCCTCAATTCAAGCAGGAATCACATACTGGACTGAGTTGAACTGAAACATACTAAGTCGCATTTTGGAAACAAATGAGTTGGGAGTAGTTTTGAATTCATCTTGTGGTAAATTTTCTCCCGTCATAATTTCAGAGTGGAGAAGAAAGATTTTAATGTTAAAAAAGTCATCAAACTTCATCCTTAACTTCGAGTCTCTTGAAGAAATACAACTTCAAACCCCTTTTTCTCTAATTCAAACTTGATGCAACTTGGTGGGTTCCTGTCAAACTTGGTCCAATTCATTCCATGCCAATGGACCGATAGACAAGGTACGAATTTAAGCATTCTAATACATGTTTCTTGACCAGAATTTCACGTAGAACTAGATTCGCGCAACGAAAATTACCGAAATCAACTCCTAACAAAGATATTAACATTTATATTTCACATTGGTTACGAGGGGTTTGAACTGCCCGCTCACAAGAAACTCAAAGCTCTACGTGAGTCAAATCGTACACTACAACGGTTTCAGCAAGCTTCTCAATCAAGCGATGTTCATTTCCCACCATGGAAACTATTAACATTATCATTACTACTATTAACCATTTCAAACTATTAACAACTTGCAATAGCTGAGCTAAAGCGTCAAGATTAAGGTTGCCAGATTTTTATATCGCAGAGACTGTCATGATAACGTTTAGCGCACGATGTGAGTCACGTAGAGCATTGAGTTTTCATGAGCGGGTGGTTTAAATTCACGCATCAAGAATCATTAAATATCTTCATAACGAGTTGATTTCGGTAATTTTCGTTGTGCGCATTGTGTTCTACGTGAAATTTTGGTTATGAAATGTGTATCAGAATGCTGAAATTCGTGCCTTGTCTACTGGTCCATTGACATCAAGAGATGTTTCTTTCACCAGGTCATGAACAAAATAAATGTCACTGCTTCAAATGTTTACTCATCAAAATTTTGGGCAGAAGTTGATTTAAAATCATGGAGGTGTTAGTAATTAACAGTGAGATATTAATGTTTCAGTCAGCATTGCTTTCAGCAAATTCAAATATCTTGCTTACGAAAAAAATCAAAAGCCATTTTGGGAAAATTAAATATTTTGCTGATCAATTGTTTTAGGTTTTACGAATCTTTTTCTACGGTTTAAATACACCAAGCTTGTCAATAAGCTGAATTAGCGCAGTGGGAAAATCTATCAATGATAAAAAAAAACCCATTCTCTCATGTTTTTAATGATGTAGCTTTTTGTTTTACAATGAGCAGGAATTTTGAATTTAAGGACCTATAAAACATCAATATCTCATTTAAGTAGCAGTTGATTTTGAAAAAAGTTTACGAGAAAATAATTACAGAATTCTTAAATTCAGACCTTTTCCAGTGGTCCTATTTGATATTCAGGCTGAAAGAGTACGCTGTACATAGCATGCCTATTGATTAGATTCAGTTTGTGTTTTTTTTCCCCTCTTTTTTTTAAAATATTTATTTCTTTTAAATCTCCTTGCAGGTTAGAAATAACAGAATCATCTAGGTATGTGACAGCGCGAGTAGTTCACCATAGTGGAAGAGTTGTTCTATCAGCATCCACAGCCGAATGGCCTTTAAAGAAACGTCTTCATTCGTAAGTCTTCATTCATTATTTTATATCTATTTTGAAAGGAATATTACATGAATAAAAAGAAATGGGGGGGGGGGGGGGGGAGGGAGCAAAAAATTTCGGAGTGATGACCATTTCTTGCGATTTGGCGTTTTTGCCTCCCGACTAAATTTCTAATTTGCCTTTGAGAAAATGTTCCATATTGAGGCAAAATGTGCAATTTCAAAATGATAAGCGAAAAAAAATCAATTTTGATTTGCCTCTCATATGCTGCAATCTGTGGATCGCAAGAATGGTTGCTCTTTGCACCCTTGAAATAAATACGGGCAAAATAGATGCTTCTTTAATCGAGTCAACATGCCTTCTCAATGTTTCGCCAATTTCAGGGTTGCTAGCAGTCTGGAGAAGTCAGGGAACTTGCGGCAACTAGGGAAAGTCAGAGAATCTCTGACACATCTACTAATCCCTGAAACATATCACTGATCTTCTAAATGTTTACCCTTTTTGATTATTTCTAAGACTTTTAATCCTGTAACTATCTACTGAATGCCTTTTTTCATAATTTGACCTCTAAACATGGAAATTTCGACCAAAATTAGGCCGAAGTCAGCCAGGGGGGGTTGAACATTTTGTTTGAAGGCCAGGAAAAGTGAGGGAATCGGAAACTTTTGGAGCGAAGGAAAAGCAAAATTAGTCTGAGTAAAATCAGGGAATTTGAAGATAAAGAAATTATGGCAGCCCTGCACCTGTCTTCGCGTTATGATTCGTTTTTCTGTGATTGCACTACTTCATTATCTCAGAAGAACCAGAATGTGGGGAACCTTTGATGGATGATCTTTAACTTCTCTATCCTTTGGAATATCATATTTTTCTGAAATTCATTTAATTTTGATTTCAGGTACTTAGACCAAATAGCATACGAAACTTTGGGAAAGGTTTTTGCAATACGCTGTCTTGAATGCGGCATCGATAGCATGTTGTGGCCATCTGAGGCTCCTCCAGGAGGAAAAGTAAGCACATTGATGGTGAAAGTAGAAAAGCACTCATCTCAACTGCAGTGTTTTTAAATTTTTGAATGTATTTTCTTTTTTAAGGAGAGAACCTATCAGCCTGATCACTTCAATTTTGACAAAATATTCATCATTTGGAATAAGAAACTACCGAAAGTTTCAAGATTGACTTTGAAAAGTTTTCATTACAAGTATTAAAGTCAGGGGTGTAGAAAAAAAGAATTACAAAACTCAGAGTCTGTGTAAAATCAGGAACGTGCCCATAAAATTAGGAAGCTGCAAGATTCTTTTTTATTAGACATTCACAGGATCTTTCAAACTATTTTGAAGGTTTGAAAGCAATCAAAATTTATTGTCTCTCCGTTTAGTTAGGAAAGTTTTAAAATCGACTTATTTAATCAGAAAATTTCCTAATTTTCCTAATTTTGTGGTAGTTTCAGAATTTTCTTAAATTCCCCCTCTTTGTTTGAAATTCATCAACTGTTTCCAAAAACTTAGAGTTTTTCCAACTGCCTAGAAACATTTGGAAAAAAGTCTTTCTTGTTTTTCAAAAAAGGAGGAGTATTGTTAAGGGCCTTTTCAGGCCCCACCTGGATTTTGCTGAATGTTTCATAATTTCAAAGTACTAGTCCTGGATAGACTCTAGGCCAAATATTTTACCGAACGGAGCCTGTGCAAAGGTGCAGCTCCATACTGTGTTGAATCTACTTGAAAATAAGAAAAGAAATACACTGAAAGTGTGAAGCATCTCACTGATAGTACGCTACATGACATGTCTAATTCATGTCAGTTTGTACTTTTAACTTCTGTAAAATTGAAGTTAGCAGAAGGAACTTTCAATTCTAAGTTATATTATTTACCTCCTTCGTAAGGTCCCCCAAAATCAGGTAAACTCTGAGCCTTCTCTCAGGATTCCTTCTAAATTTGGAGGGAAATTTTTTCCTGCATCCCCCAATTAAGTAAATCTGTCAGTTTGCAATGATTGATTTGAGCTTGTCTTATTTCACCATTGATATTCATCTTTTCAGGTAAAGACATTCATACTATTTAGCTTAAATCACTTCAGGAAAACAACTTTTACCTCTAGGGGCTTAGCCCTTTTGATAAGCTTTTAACAATTTATGGACAATTATCTCAAACGGAAGAATTAAGCAGCAATTCTGAAAAAATTGAAATACCAATCATTTTCTGAGCCTAAGTTGGACGGGTCAGCCTAACTACTTTTCATTGTGCCGTATTTCCTTTCAAGTTATTTTTTTAACAAGAAACTAAACCACTTTTTTTTTTTTTGTGATGAGGGGAAAAATTTGCTACAGTGCCCCCATCATGAGGGTCGCCGAAACGCCCCCCATGAAAGGGGCCCATCGAAAGGGGACGGCAACGGCCATCAGCTGGTGAAGAGCCGCCTAAGCGACCCCTAACCGACCTGACCACTGTGAAATGGGAAAACCCGGTTATGTGCTGGTAGAGCACGCCGCTGTGTTCCGTACCCACTAAACGACCTCTCCAGGCCACACCCCGATGCAAGTGTGGCCCATAGGACGCTCTATCCTCCCGTCGGACGTCCCTAAGGCACTCCTCAAACGGCAGTCCCCGACCCCGCCCCGGTGCAGCCGGCGCCCCTCAGGCCCCCCACTTGGGGGAGGGTCCCCCCATCCCCCGGGACCAATCTGCCGAAGCCATCATTGTACCCGGAGTCGAGGGTGTAGAAACTAAACCACTTGAGGCCTTTAAACTCTCTGTAAACTCATCCTAGATTGGCAATAATATACTCATTAAATTTCAAGTTTGCAACATGCTTAGTTTTCTGTTCACAAAATGAGACATTAGAAAAAATTGGGCCATGTCTAATGCAGTCATGCTGGTTCTGCTTAAATTCTTTGAGTTTTACGAGGACATACTTGATGTAGGGTATACTTTCCTTATGGTGTGCTCAAAATATTATCTAGTTTATTTATTTAATATTATCTAGACAATCTAACTTTCTATCTACACTCGAAAGTTTCAGAGAACAGTTTTGAAATGGTGGAAAGAGCCACAGAGAATCTTGCAGCACAATTAACATGGCCATTCCTCAAAAATGTAAAATTTGATGGCTTTTGAATCTTTGGAATTTTGCAGTACTGCAATACATGGTGTTTTTTTTAGTTTTACCCTGCATAGACACACCTTGGCACTTAAATCATTCAATATAATCCATCTATCAATGAATGCCTGTCTGCTGTCAAGCTTCTTCGCCTTGAAAGTTATCTTTGAATGTATTTTCAAGTCAATATTAATTGCCAAATTGCAAAACCTTGTGTCTCTATTACAATGTCTCAAAGTTTCCACTCTTATTTATTTTTTCCAAGAGAAACAAGGTAACTTTATAGCTGGAAATTTACACAGAATCTTCTGCTAACATAGATGAAAAATCTAGGAAGTTTTAAAGCAATTACGAGAAACAAAAGAAAAAATTAAGTATGACAGGAAATCGGTAACGTCAAAAACGGAGGTACTTGGTTTTGCACCTTGGCCACCGATATTGCTGTCATGAACTTAATGAGAAAGCCCACTTGTGAATGTTCGGTTTTAAACCTTGATAGCTCTTTGATTAGCCTAAGGAAAACGAGAACAAACGAATTCATTACATTCTCCAGTAATTTTTGCCCTTTTTCTGTTGACAGCTGGATTCCCTGCTTACTACATTAAAAAATAGCGGAATCAATCTAGACGAATTACCACAGTATAAAGATGTTAGTGTGATGGCAAAAACCAGACCAGACAAACCAGGAGAGCCGGAAGAATAAAGTCTTGAGGCCAAGTTTAGTAACTCGTTTTTTTTTGTAAGTCGATTGTTTGATTTTTAATTCATCCCGTTAATTTTTTTTTATTTTGTTTAAAAACTTCTTATCATGCATTTTCTTGTGTCCAGATTTGATTTCAAAGAAAAATTAAAACATGTTTTCTTTAATACAGATTTATTTCATTTTGAGCACCCGCAAAGTGTCACTTTCATAGGTAACCCTCTTATATGTCCAATTGTCCACATACTTAATTTACAACACTTGGGCTGCAATTGGTAGCATAAGTCCAGAGACAAAGAGATCCACTGGCCTTTTGGCAACAGGTGGAAACTTTGTCTTTTGGGGATTCAACATTTCCTTATGGACAATTGAGGACCATGCCGGAAGAAGGGCGTATGTACAAGGTTCAGCGTCGTTAGAAAAACGCATTTGAAGATTTGAAATGGTGTCCCGAAAAATGAAATGCAGCAGTTGGTTAAACCAAAGTCAATTCTCTTAAACTAGATCCTACACCTTTGAAATCCATTAAAAGTTTAAAAGAAATAAATAATTTGCCCTCTGTAATCATTGGACAAAGTAAGCCAGAGATACGCCCTTCTTTCGGAATCCTTGTATGTACGATAAAAAAGAGGATCGTTTTTCTTCGATAACTCATAAAGTAATGAAAAAGAAGAAAATCGGGGAAATGACTTTCTGCTAATACATTTCAGTATTCTAACGAGCCAAAGTTTTTAAAGATCGGGTCACTGGTTGCAGAGAAACCCAGCTTTTTCTGGGCGCACTTGTGATTGCTGA